GAGAGAGAGAGAGAGAGAGAGAGAGAGAGAGAGAGAGTCTCAATTTTCACGATCCTATATAGTTATCGTTACAGGTAAGTTATACATTTGGCACAGTTGTTTTGTTTGCTACTTTTGGATTTTATTTTAGAAATTAATTTTTCACTTTTTGGTTTTATTAAAAAATTTTTAGCATAATATACTGAATTATGCCACATGTATATTTAATATAATATATGTTTAAATGTTTAATGTGAATTGTATTTTTTTCAGTGATACCAGTAGTGTTCCACCGTGAACACCAACGCGGTATGCAGTTACGCATTTACATCCTAGCCTATCTCCTATTAAAGGGGGTGAGTGAATAGATACATTTTACATTCGTTATTTAATTAAATTATTTTAGATGAATGTCAATAGACCATTGTGAGATGTAATAAGAATCACGCGTGGAAAGTTAATGCGGAATTATCGATACACGTTATGTATCGATTGTTGTAATTTTTGTGGCGAAGCGAAATGTCGATTGAACATTCTCGGAGGCGAAAGAAAGACGAGGTTTATGGGTATTAGTTCTCGTCTGGTGCGAAACCACCGAGAAACGTGGTATGAGGAGGTCGAGGGAATATCTCTCTTGTGCGGGAGATAGGATAGGTCGGTACGTCTACGTATAGGTAATTACTACATTATAACCCAGATATCGTGGTGAGTACGCACGTGGCCAGGCAATGCCGTTACCCAGTGCTCTGACCCAGAGCTAAGGGCGACTCGCCCGGTCCGATGTCTCAAAATGGTGCGCGAAGCGGCGCTCCAATCCGGCTCGTCTACTGTCTACCGAAGACCCGAGTAACGTTTCATCGTATATCGGGCCGCTCTCTTACAAGGTGGTGCGCAAAAATCCCGCGCGTGGTACGACCGGTTTCTTCGTGTGAGCGCGCGCCTCGCGGTTTCTTTCGTGTACCCTTTTCATCCTGCATTCCTGTGGCCCAACACGATTTTCGATGCACGTATACATATGTATGCATCCTCTTTATTTTCCGCTCAACTTCTCGATCGACGATTATCGGTTAAGTTTATAAAAGAGTGTGGCGATAGAACACATCAATGAATGAATCGCCGTTATGGTGCTATATTGGAATCGTTCAAAGTCCTCCCCCC